CTCTGCCAGGCTTCGGGAGGCGGATAGAAAGAGTAGAAATTGGCCAAATATACAGATACAGGTACGGAAGCTGATGTGTTATGCAGAAAGGTTTTACCGGCTATAGAGATACAGATAACAATGTGTAAAAATAATGACTGAATTTGATGATGATGTGTCTTCGATATTGTATAATGCACTGTTATGTTTTGCTATTTGGATATTCGTAACTTGTTGTTAGGTCCTGTACATTGCATTGACTTGCCCTGTGTTGTGTTGTATGTACCAGTGGCAGCCGCCACCATCCTTTGGCTGCCTGGCTCCCACTTGTAATGCATTGTGGCATCACCAATAAATGAAATAAATGAAATGAAAATGACTCCGAGATACGTTCTAGATACAGTCACAGTCCTTTTATTCTGCTTTGTGTTCCAAAACTGTTTGTACAGATGTATGTATACACGTAAAAATACCCTTTTCTGTACATGGAGTGGCTTCACGGGTCTTAAGTACAATAAATCACAGTTTCCGTAACCCAACTTCATCTCAACTTCAACTCTGTCCCATATAAACATGTCGGTCTCAGGACATGGTCCTTAGTTTTAGCCTCCATAGCATGCCAAAAACTGGGGGTTTGGGGGGCCGGGTCTTCAATGTCTTTGGGAGCTATTTTCTGATTGCATATAGACAACATAGCCGGCCTGGTTGAATTATCCCCGTTTTTTAGAACTGGGCTAATCAGAAAACAGCCGAAGACCACCAAACCCCCAGTTCTATAAGCCTGCTACGGAGGCTAATCAGAAAACAGCCGAAGACCACCAAACCCCCAGTTCTATAAGCCTGCTACGGAGGCTAATCAGAAAACAGCCGAAGACCACCAAACCCACAGTTCCATAAGCCTGCTACGGAGGCTACTTAGTTAGTTTGACGTCTGTCTTAATCATATACTTCACAGTCGTTATACATGTTTGAATCAACAAGGGTGGAGATTGTAGTAAACATCCAAAATGCGTCCGTTCCAACTCAACCACAAGAAATTGGAGATTTGAGACTTCCGGGAAATACTTCAGGACCTTCAGGTGCCTGTGTCTGACCTTCTGACCTCCTGCTATTCTGTCTGTCAATCTCCTTCCCCCGCCCACGTGCTGTCAACCACCCTATCCAAAAAATCGGACACAAACTCATAGCTCAGCCACCCAAAACAATATTTCCATACCCGGAAGTTAAGGCGCCACATACCATACTGCATCCTTCATCAGGCTCGAATGACCAATCCATCAGAACACGTGACCTCGTGACGTCAGTTATATTTTGAAGCCGATTGGTCATCTCAGCTTGATGAAGGCTGCAGTACAGACGACCTAAAATTCGGTGAGACTTCTTAGTCATGTGGAAACGCAGTTGGGCTGTTCGCTTTGTTAATAACCACCAAGTCAAATGGACATTTAATCTAATATAAGAATGAAAAATGTCAATCATCACATATATAAATTACAACAATTACAAACCCTGACAAATAACATTCAATTTTCCTTCGAAGAAAAAAAACAGATTTCCACAAGTTACACATTTTGGCACGAATTCGTCTAAGCACAGTGAGTACCGTGCGCGTCTTTTAAAACTATATATAAACATTGAATATACCTCCGCCCCAGAGGCGTCGCCAAAAATGGCTACAACAAATCTTTCCACTCAAGTGAATTGAATCATAGGCTAGAGTAATAATTTGCTTATGTCTCCTTATTCTGGTATTTAAACTATTCGAACCGTCACTGTTCCATCGCCCTATATCCAAACGTTCTGTATATCAAAAGTCTTGAAGGCAGAACGTGTGCCTCCACTGTAGATATTTACAAATGTCAATGAATTGGCTCTAGACTTAAGGACCTTGTTGTATCCAGAACCGTGCTTTATCGAAAGTCATGGTCAGGCACTGGATAGTCCATGCACATCCAGAATCATGCCTGTGGCAAATCTTCGTTCTTGGATACGCGATACTATCCAGAACCGTGTCTGAGACAAATCTACGTGCTTGGATACCCGGAGACTATCCAGAACCGTGCCTGATCCTAACCCTAACCACGTCAGGCATAGAACTAGACAGGCACGGTTCCGGATACAAGAGTAATCACATGACCACTGCCTCACAAAAAGGATAGACAGTATCAATCAATTTATCGTGCATGTCACGTCTAACATGATGTAATGTATTTTTACCACCAGTAGGAATCAGTTATCAACATACGTACAGCAGTTAACAGTTACACTGGATCAGTGTTTGTAACCAGGAACTTACCTCCCCACTGAAGTCGTGTGTTTTTATATATTAAGATGCAAACACAGTCGTTTTATCTGCACGTTTCTCATCTTTTCCAGACAAGATTTAAAAAGGATTCTCTGTTTAGATTCATGGCACGACTTAATCTACTTGTATCTTACACATCATAACGTCGTATCATTGCGTACTTAACGGAGTAGACTTTGGAATGAAATGTGGAGCTTAACCTGTACGTGTGATAATGTACTCACCAGCTAGTGTCGTCGTTGGTCTGGGTATATAACGTTAGGTTTACTTAACATGCATGTCACAACTCAATATACTTCTTCTTCTTAAAGCTGCATTATGTAGTTTTTTGCGCAAAAATTCAAATATTCTGAATCTACCAAATCTTGATTTTATCATCATTTACTATCACTTTTCAACACATTTGCGTCATTATATTACGTTTCTGGCGTATTATGTTAATGCACAAACAGTCCGCTCGATGCGCGCTCAGTTCCCGGTGGCACCGAGTTGTTTTAAGATTAGACAAAAATCGCATAATGCAGCTTAAACACATCATTACATCCACAGTTGCATCGTATTGGCTAAACTAACTGGGTGTACGCTCTGTAATGAGAAATTGTGAATGTTCCTGTGCTAACATAGACACCGCTGTTGTACCCAGAACCATTCCTTTATCCAGAACCATGTCCAGGGGAGGTCCTGGATAGTCCATGCATATCCATAACCATGTTCTTGGATACGCGCAGACAATCCAGAACCGTGCCTGATCCTAACCCTAACCCGTTCAGGCATAGAACTAACTGGGTTTGTGCTCTGTAATAAGACATTGTGAATGTACCTGTGCTAACATACACATCGCTGGTAGTGTCATAAACTATGATACGTATTCAGTATCATGTGAAAAATGTGAGGAACTGTTGTATCCAGAACTGCGATTTATCCAGAACCATGATCAGAGGAAGTTCTGGATAGTCCACGCGTATCAAGAACCGTGCCTGGAGCAAATCTACGTTCTTGGATACCAGGAGACTATCCAGAACCGTGCCTGATCCTAACCCTAACCCATTCAGGCATAGACCTAGACAGGCCTAGGCACGATTCTGGATACTAAATGAACGTTTTGTGGCTAAACATGTCTGCGTTGACCGACATCAAGTTGTTATATTCGATCAATCTGAGATTTATAATGTAGCTATAGCTATGGTTAAGTAAAAAATCTACTCCAAATACATCGTGCTTCTTCTTACAGAGGTAAAGTGACGATGGAAGTTCTCTGTGATGTTTTAACAATATAATGTACAAAAAGCAGTTACTCAAGCAACTGGATATGATTTTGAAAACGTCAGACGTTTCAGCTAGTATCCACTAGCTTTCGTCAGTGACTGAGAGACCAGGGGGGAAAGCAGGTTTATATACACAACCTGTTGATTGATATGCAAATAAAGTGAAGACAAATTTTTGGAAGTCGAAAAAGGAACAAAAGTCAGACAAGTCAAGACAAGATGATGCAAATTAGTCTGAAAGCTCCTGTTATACAGGACAGGAGCTTAAGTGTTGTCTGTCCTCGGGGCTGGGAGTGCCAAATCCCAAGTGCCGGAAAGATCGACCCGTAGCCCCCCTTCCCTTCAACAGGTTGTGTATATAAACCTGCTTTCCCCTCTGGTCTCTCAGTCACTGACGAAAGCTAGTGGATACTAGCTGAAACGTCTGACGTTTTCAAAATCATATCCAGTTGCTTGAGTAACTGTTTTTTGGCATATCGTATTACCTGGATGTCTAACCTTCATCGACGTAAATATAATGTACATTTTATATATATTTAAAGTTAAAGAAGTCAAATTCAAGTACGTCGTTGTTGTTTCTGATACGAAGTAAATTCTTAATGACTATATCTTTCATTTGGCAGCATGTTCCTTTTGGTGTTGTTCAAAGCTAAAGTTTGTGTTTTTTCGCAAAGTTACAACTTTTCAAAGTGGACAGTTTCCTCTGTCTAAATAGAATGATGTCTGTCTACTCTGCTACACAAATTCACATGTTTTGGAAGAATACCTGTACATAATTATCATAAATGACAGTTTGACATTGTAAATAGAGAGATCAGATTGCCTCACCTCTTATATATGAAACGTGAAATGGAAGCCTGTCGTCAATGTTTTAAACAGTTTAAACTTTACAACTTCAGTCATAAATTCCAGCCTATCCCGGCTCTTTGGGAGTCGTTTGTTTTTCCACATATACTTAATAAACTATGGCAGATGTTAACCCTTACGTTATTATTAATGGCACTAGATTTACATATTTATGTGTTACATACTAAAACGTTTGTAACATTTGTAATTACATGTATCTGTTACAACTGTCGCAGCATTTGCAACATGTGTAACCAACTGTTACAAGTTACAACTATATTGTAGCAAGTGCTTTTACACTTTAGCTTTCCAGATTTACACGAAGACTGATATCATATTATGGCTTATTCCAATGTCCCTTTGTCACAGAAGGACATGCAACTTTCCTTATTCTAATGTCCCTACAACAAAGAAGGACATACGCCAAAAAGCAGTTACTCAAGCAACTGGATATGATTTTGAAAACGTCCAATTGCTTGAGTAACTGCTTTTTGGCATATTGTATTACCTGGATGTCGAACCTTCATCGACGTAAAGAAGGACATACAACGTTCCTTAGATATGATATATGTATACACACACAATGTATCAATAAATCGAAGTCTTCAGGCTTTCGCCGTCTTGGGATTCCTGACTTTCGCGCGCGGACCCGTCTCCTTGGCGACGTCCTTGGCGTTGCCTAGCGACGCGCGGCTGCCTAGCGACGACTCTGACGCGGAATCGACGCGCAGCATGACTGCGCACTTGTTAGAATCCAGGCTGACGGTTTCGGCTGTGTCCACGACATGCGGCGGCAGCTTCTCTCTCCTGAGAGGCGGAAGCATGGACGGAGCCCGCGGGACCTCTAGGAACATGGAGCTCGGCGTCGGGACTGAACTTCGGCGTAAATCCGCTAGGGGGACGTCGTTTGCGCCTAGACCACCGGGTGGTGACACCAGGACATCCGCAGCGCAGCTACGCGACCTTACGATGACGTGGTGCACGTTCGGGCTCAACAACGCGCTGTTGTTACCGCCGCTTCCAGGTTTGTTGTTCGAGTTACTGTCCTCAAAAACGCTGTCCTCTCCGACGCTCTGTAGTGCTGGGAAAGGAGAAGGGCTGCCGGCTCCGCCCTGCGTAGGCGGCGTGGAGGACTGCGAGCGCAGCATGGTCAGGTACGTGCTTGCCGAACTGATGGTGCTGACCCGCCGTCGACTCGCCACCGTCTCCACAGTCCGCCTGTTCTCCGGCTGAGCGTTGTCGTTCCGTAACTTCCGCCACAGCCGGCGGAGGGAGTTCCTGAACTTCCTGCTCCGGAACGCGTACACCAGCGGGTTCACCATAGAGTTGGATAGAGCCAACCAAGTGGCCATAGTGAACACCCACGGTGGCGTCGGGTGTCCCCACGACGGCCCAACCTCGTGTTTCCTAAACAGCTCGTTCAAGTGTACGACCACATACGGCGTCCAGCAACAGAAGTACACGAAGATGAGCACGAAGAGTCTGTAGGCAGCCCTGGCCTGGCTTGGAGCGGGGTGTCTGTCGTTACTGGCTAGGGAGATACTGTCTGGCTCAGCGGGAACGGCGGGGTTGAAGGTACAGAAGCTTGGCAGGTCCCCGATGATGGACACAGCTGGAATGATGTACCTGTAACGGTTATGGTTTATTGAGGTTTATTGAGGAAAAACTCTCCTATTCTTCCAGGAGAGAGTACATAAAACATAACTTCAACATACAATTACATATACATTACATAATTATTTGAAAGAAAGAAATGTGTAACATCGTATGTGCTTTACTTATTCATGTCCCTCATGTGCTTTAGTAGGCCTTGTTTGAACTTCTCATGTGATGACACTGTTTGCAGCCCATGTGGTAGAGAGTTCCATGCTGCAGTAGTTCTGTATGTGAAGGTTGTTTTAGTGCTGTTTGTTTTTGGTTTGTCTAGTTTTAAGGTGTTCCGAGTAGCATGTCTGGGTCTCTACTTTAGTATGTTAAAATCATCCACATAATCAAATCAACGTGGCCGTATTACATACCTGACAGTTGTGAAGTCCTCCTGAGACGAGCTGTTAGCGTTAAGGTTCTCGCGCACGTCTGTGATCCGTCTCGCGTGATCTCGCGCGACTTTGACGATCCGCGCGTAGCACACGATGACGACAATGGCGGGAAGCAGGAAGCACGTGACCGCCACGAAGAGAGTGTAGGACATCGCCTGGGTCCAGTCGGCCGAGCAGGCGAAGCGAGCCCGTCCGTACGCGTACCCTCCCCACCCCATCAGAGGCGGAGCGCTGCACACAAGCGCCTGCACCCAGATCCAGACTAGGTTCCGAGCGGTCTTTTTTGAGGTGGCGTCGGTGTGGTACTTGAGACAGTTTATAATGGCGTTGTATCTGTCCAGCGCAATGGCGGCGAGAGTTAAAACGGAGCTGATGCACGAGAGGAGGGTCACGAACCCGACCACTTTGCACACAGGCTGGAAAAAAGGGAAAACAAGAAAAAATCGTCAGTTTATTAGTCATACAATTGGACCAATGGGTTGGGAGTTCGAATCCCACTGTATGGAACTCGACAACCTGATACACTGGCTGGGCAAAAAAGAGAGAAACAAGAAAAGAATTCGTTAGTTTCCTTTCCTTCCGTTTTAAATTTACAAAATTGGACCAAAGGGTTATGAGTTCGAGTCCCAGTGAGACAGACCAGGCACACCGGTTGGGAAAAAAGAGAAACTTAGTTGTATTAGTATCGTTTCTGTATCTTAGTTATAGCGTATCACAGTGGTTAGTGACCCAGCCTCTAGACCAAGGGTTTCGGGTTCGAATCCCATTGTGTCGAACCCGACCACCTGATACACTGACTGGAAAAAAAAGAGAGAAAACACGATCATTTTTTCATCAGTTTGATCCCAGCTCCAGCCCAGGTTTCTCGTTTTTGGCGTCTGTGTGGTACTTGAGACAGTTGATAATGGCGTTGTAGCGATCTAGAGCGATGGCTGCGAGGGTTAGGACAGAACTGATGCACGACAGGAGCGTTACGAAGCCGACCACTTGGCATACAGGCTGGAAAAAGGGAAAAGCAAGAAAAAAAAAAGTCGTCATGCAATTGGACCAAAAGGTTGGGAGTTCAGGGCAAACCATTGTTGACCACAATGGCAATAAACTCTGTCATTTAGGTATCATTATAACATGGTATCTACTGCTATATACATGTGAGAAACATACTGGAAGGCAGGCTACACAATGTGCTCTTAAAGTTAATGGTGTAGTTTCTAGCGTCTATCTAGACATCTTTCGATACATAATAGAAAACATTTACCTGTCCATACGCCCAGCCGTCGTTGACCACATTACTGGTGACCACCGGCATGACCCCGACCCCGACGATCAGGTCACTGGCGGCCAAGTTCACGAGAAACGCTGACGTCACCGTGTGCAACCGCCTGGTGAAGGCGATCACCAAGATCACAGTCAAGTTCGCCAGTATGGTCACCACGGTGCATCCCACCATGGACAAGGCCAAGGCCACTGAGGACCCAACCGAAAGTTCCAAACCATGATCGTACACGTTAGAAGCTTTGGTCAGATTTCTCAGGTGAGTGAAGTTGTTGTTGATGAGCATCGTTGTTGGTGTTGTCGTCGGAATCACCATGGTAACGTTGTCGGTCGCCATGGCAACGGTTGGCGAGGGAACCAAGATGGCGGCTGCGTCAGTCCCGAATGTCGTCTGCATGGTGTAAGCTGTGGTGGTAGGGGAAGTGGTACCGTTCGCGTGTAGACCCCATGTTGTTGTTGTCAAACCCGGGCTGGATGCCGTCATGGCCTTTCAGGGTACCTGGCAACGGGAGAGCAGAAGCAAATTATTGCTAAGGAGTGTCAATACAACGATTTCAGTATTAAGGGTTATTGTCAATTAAAAATCCCTGATTACAGAAAGAGCGCTAATTGCAAGGTACGAAGGAATGGAAGGGTTCTGTCGCATGATCGCGAAATGGATGCATTCTTTTCAATTAAAATCCCTGATTGCACACAGAAAGAGCCCAAAATTGGATGTATACAAATGAAACTAAGAACTCCATCGCACGATCTCAAACTGGATGCATTGATGGGATAGTCGTACAAATGTCCTGCAAAATTCAGCCAGTTGTCTTGTTACCGCAAAGGCTGTCCTATATAGATCCCTGTCTGTACGTGGTTGGTTATGTCACAGCCTGCTTGCAAATATTCTACAGTATCAAAAACGCGCGATGACCTACCACAAATATGGCCGAGGAAATATAGTTGTCTATTGCCACATCATATCTACCCCTTGCCACGAAAACATATCAGACAATGTTTTATGGACCTTCTCTTATTTCCTATACACAAAACACTAAAAATAATAGCCACTCTGGTTCACTTACGTATTAACTAAACAAATTATATATCACGGACACCACAATGCATTCAAACAAGCGACTGGAAATCTGAAGCTCTGGAATAGAAAGTGCAAGAAGGTTAAACACAATATTTGATTTTAAAAATCTTTGTAAAATGCAACGGTACGCGGATGAAAAATATTAAAATAAAGAAACACATTTTACCAACCGACCGTGCCGTGAGTTGTCTATTGTCACATGATAGCTACCCCTTGCCACAAAAACACATCAAGAGTCCAGACAATGTTTTTATAGACCCTGTCCTATTTCCTATAAAAACATTGTTAACAGCCCCTTACATATGTGCGTAACCAAACCAATTATGGCGAACGCCGCTATATATATTATATGCATTAAATCAAGCGAGTGAAACTCTATTTTTACTCCCGGGCGTTGCAATAGAATAGAAAATACAACGGTACATGGAATGAAAATATCAAAATAAAAACACACATTTTATCGAGGGTCAAGAGAATGTTGTTATAGAGCCTATATTGTCTCCTATACAAAGCATTGATAATGAAATGAAATACCTTTATTGTACATTCATGCCGCGACGGGCTAGGTACATGTCAAGATATAACAGACACATAACAAACGTATATAGAAAATTGGAGACAAAAGATGCACTACTTGACTTAGACATACATACATAAGGATAATAGCCACTCTGGTTGACTTAAGTAACCAAACCAATCATGGCGAACGCCGCTATGCATTAAATCGAGCGAGTCGAAATCTATTTATACATTTTTACTCCGGGGCGTTTGAATAGAAAATACAACGGTACGTGGAAGGAAAAACATCAAAATAAAGACACACATTTTATCGAGGGTCAAGATTTCAGACAATGTTTTTATATACCCAGTCCTATTTTCTATAAAAACATAGGTAATAGCCAATTACATATGAACGCAACCAAACCAATCATGGCGAACATCGCAATGCATTAAATCAAGCGAGTAGAAATCTATTTTTACTCCCGTGCGCTCGAATAGAAAATACAACGGTACATGGAAGGAAAAATATTAAATAAAGACACAAATTTTATCGAGGGTCAAGAGAATGTTGTTATAGAGCCTATATTCTTTCCTATACAAAACGTTGATAATAGCCACTCTGGTTCGCTAACGTAGCCAAATAAATTATCACGAACACCACAATAAATTAAATCAAGCGAGTGAAACTCTGTTATTTCTCCGGCACTGGAATAGAAAATATGAGTACAATACGTGTACATAGAAGAAAACTATTAAAAGAAAGACGCACATTTTAGCGATCATAAACCTTCGTTTGAAGCAATATGTACCACCCTACATGCCACAAATTGGGGACATGCATCCGGCTTCCTACGGCAAATAAAATACATGTACATGGAAGAAAACTATTAAAATAAAGACATGCATTGTATCGACCATAAACCTTCACTCGAAGCAATGTATACCGGCCTACGCCAAAAAATAGTTACTCAAGCAACTGGATAAGATTTTGGAAACGGTCAGATGTTTCAGGTAGTATCCACTACCTTTCGCCAGTGACTCTTTCGTTGTGGATACTACCTGAAACGTCTTACCGTTTCCAAAATCATATCCAGTTGCTTGAGCAACTGCTTTTAGACCGTTTCCAAAATCATATATGATATCCAGTTGCTTGAGTATCTTATTACCTGGATGTCTAACCTTCACAGACGTATACCGGCCTACATTCCGCGAATTGGGGACATGCAGCATCCGACTTCCGACGGCAAATAGAATACATGTACATGGAAGAAAACTATTAGAATAAAGACATACATTGTATCGACCATATTATACCTTCGCTTGAAGCAACGTACCGGCCTACATTTCACAAATTGGAGACGGCATCCTGCTATCGACGGCAAATACAATGTACATGTAACCGTGTTGTGTAGACACGACTAATTACGGTAACAACGGCGCTATGGCAACAACATTCATGTTTACACGCGCGGCTACGGCCAGGAAATTGTCTCGCCAAGTGTTTTACACAAACCACAAACCACCGGTAAAGTGTTTAAATTCTCACTGCAGTTCTATATACACTGGCCTCCATAGCATTCCAAAAGCTGGGGGTTTGGGGGGTCTTCAGGGTCTTTGGGAGCTATTTTCTGATTGCATATAGACAACATATCCGGCCTGGTTGAATTACCCCCGTTTCAATCAGAAAACAGCCGAAGACCACCAAACCCCCAGCTCTATAAGCCTGCTACGGAGGCTAATCAGAAAACAGCTGAAGACCACCAAACCCCCAGCTCTATAAGCCTGCTACGGAGGCTAATCAGAAAACAGCTGAAGACCACCAAACCCCCAGCTCTATAAGCCTGCTATGGAGGCTAATCAGAAAACAGCTGAAGACCACCAAACCCCCAGTTCTATAAGCCTGCTACGGAGGCTAATATACACGGGGAATAGCACGGCAATATTGGGTTAGGCGAATACTTGCCGAGATTTAGTACGGACAAGGACGTAGATAATACACGGAACCATGAAGATTTTGTTGAATTGAATATGTGTATATATATAGAAAGCTTAAGAGAGTGGCACAATAGGGGAATTGGAGCCACTCACGACAGCGTTTGTGTGCACGCAATGTCGTTGTGTTAATAGGACCCCAGGGACACGGTATGACAGACAGGCCACCAGGAGAATTACTAGTACCTAATGGCGTGTTGTGTAACGCTATTCATCTCCCAATAGATCTTTTGTTGGCGGTGTAGTGCAGTATCAAATTGGCAAGACAGTATCAAATTGTAGCCTCCATACCATGCCAAAAACTGGGGGTTTGGGGGTCTTCAGGGTCTTTTGGAGCTTTTATGTGCTATTTTCTGATTGCATATAGACAACATAGCCGACCTGGTTGAATTACCACCGTCTTTTGCTAATCAGAAAACAGCCAAAGACCACCAGACCCCCAGTATCAAATTGGTAAGACAGCATCAAATTGGCAAGACAGTATGGAATTGGCAAGACAGTATCAAATTGGCAAGGCAGTATCAAATTGGCAAGGCAGTATCAAATTGGCAAGGCAGTATCAAATTGGCAAGACAGTATCAAATTGGCAAGGCAGTATCAAATTGGCAAGACAGTATCAAATTGGCAAGGCAGTATCAAATTGGCAAGACAGTATCAAATTGGCAGACGGTGTCAAATTAACAAGACAGTATACAATTTGTATCCACTTGCCATTTGCCACCCGTTTGGCCGGCGTAAAAACGTAAAAAAACTGCCCTGCCACTGCCCTGCCCTGCTACATAATGAAATCCAACACCACAGGGTGTCTGCTACAGCATCAGTTACCATGGTGACAGACGTCTGCATGGTTAAGGTCATTGACCTTATTCGGGTGGAGAAGCATAAGAGGAAGACGAAACAGGCTTTCCTTTTGCATAAAAAAGGTAAGCATAAAAAAGTCCCAGGTAGTATAGCCTGCTATTGAGGCTACTCAGATGCGCGCCATGGCTCGGTTGGATGTTACATAAACTCCCTCGAGACTCCCTCTCCTGACGCTCCCTGATAAAAACTTCCCGCGTTAATTGCGCGCCGACAGCCGCGAGTTATCTCCCCAATCCCCCTCGCGAGGATAAAACACGCCTTTCATTGGTTTAGCGGGCTTCCCGTGAGGCGCTATTTTTAGCAACTAAATTACGATGTGGACGATTGATGGTAGCTCTTTGGGGATGCTCTATGCAAAAAGATGCTCAGGCAAGGTTCTGGATACTTAGTCCGCGCGTATCCAGAACCGTACCTGGGGCAGATCTACGTTCTTGGATACACAGAGACTATCCAGAACCGTGCCTGATCCTAACCCTCCCCTACGTTCTTGGATACGCGGAGACTATCCAGAACCGTGTCTAATCCTAACGCTAATCTATCCAGGCATAGAACTAGATATGCACAGTTCTGGGTACAACAAAGAGTTATCTCCCCAATCCCTCGCGTGAGGAGAAATCAACCCCTTCATTGCTTTATTTAAGGCTTCCAATGAGGCAAAGCCTGGCGCTATTTTTAGCGACTAAATTACGATGTGGATGATTGATGGTAGCTTTATTCAAAATCATTCTCAGGCACGGTTCTGGATAGTCCACGCTTGCCTGGAGCAAATTTACGTTCTTATTAGATACGGGTAGTCTATCCAGAACCGTGCCTGATCCTAACCCATCCATTCACAGAGGTAGATAGGAACGGTTCTGGATAGTCTAAGCGTATCCAGAACCTTGCCTGAGGCAAATCTACGTTCTTGGATACGAGGAGACTATATATCCAGAACCGTACCTGATCCTAACCCATTCAGGTGTAGAACTAGAAAGACAAAACTACCTCCCGAAGTAATGTGCTCGGTTGAATAAGATGAATATATACAGTTGCCATTAAGGCTCTCCCCAAGTTGTATATTGAATATCGGTATATACAGCTGATATAGTAGTTACAATCCCTGCAAAGGTTCCCGTCGTTGCTGCTTATGAGATGTGTCCTTCTAGCGGGCGAAATTCTCACCATACATTATTTATAGTCTACTGCAAATCTTTTCTGATAGGCTTGCTAGTAACCAATGTAAACCTTCTAAGCACTCACTCAGTCAGTCAGTCAGTCACTCACACACTCACTCACTCACTCACGCTTGTTTTTTTTCTACAGAGCTTGTGCATGTTGTTGACATTTTTGAAACATAACTTACTGACGTGTCGGTGAAGGTTAGGCATCCAGGTAATACGATACGCCAAAAAACAGTTACTCAGGCAACTGGATATGATTTTCGGTTAGAGGAAAGGTAATGGTAGCCTCCATAGCATGCCAAAAACTGTTTTTTTTTTGGTCTTTGGGAGCTTTTTATGTGCTATTTTCTGATTGCATATAGACAACATAGCCGGCCTGGTTGAATTACCCCCCCCCCCCTTTTTTTAGAACTGGGCTAATCAGAAAACAGCTGAAACCACCAAACCCCCAGTTCTATAGGTCTGCCACGGAGGCTAAGGTAGTGGATGCTACCTGAAACGTCTGACCGTTTCCAAAATCATATCCAGTTGCTTGAGTAACTGTTTTGTTTTGCGTATAACTTACAGTCTTTGATGTATATATTACAGCTATTAAAGTGTGGCATGAAGCCAAATGATGAAACGTTATTAATTCATTATTTCGGTGTCTCGTTTATGAAACAATAAACCATAGCTCCTAGTTTTCCAATCACACAAATGCCATGCGTTTAAGTGCCCGATAACTCATGCGTTTGACTATTTGATACATCAGAATTTGGTACATAACTAATAAGCGAGACATGAAACAGAATACAAACAAGTGGTTAGATGAAAAACCACCTAAAAATCGTTTTTACTGGCACGATGATTATGTTGCAGCTATATTTCTAGCAAAATTGCATGGTCAATGGCCTACAACAGTAGCATTCTGCATCTGTATCTGTATAGCCGGTACAATTGCCTTATGGCGTAACACACCAGCTTATATACGTCATATATCACTGGTTTATTTCAAACACACAATTCAAACACGGGTACGCGGCGCGGCCGGCAGTTGGCTATATTACACCAAACGACTTGTTAAACCTAACCCTTAAACATCCCCAACTCCAAACATTGTTTAAATCTATCTAACGATATTACCCCTAATGATATTGAACTATTGGCTACTTAAAAATCATCATGCTTCGCCTCAGTTGAGGATGGCTGCATTACCTTTAACCGTCACGTGTAACTGTAGAAGGCACCAGCAGTTCCAGAATAGCAACGGAATTACCTGATCGTAATGAAAAATGTGTTTCGATGACAAATTGCCTCGTCGTTTTTGTTGGCGCGATGATTGTGTTACAAGTATGTTTATCAGCTTACAAGTACACCACGTACCTGTGGTTGTAGAATAACATCGGAATCGCTTCTTTGAGTGGCCGAGCAGCCGAGCACCCAAGCAGGTGTTGTCGTTTCAGTTCCTGCAGTTACGCGGTTATTTCTACGTTTTCAGGAAACATAAAATTCCCTCCCGAAAGCTAGAACTGCCTGCCTCTAGTCAAACTAACTACGCTGGCTATATATAGGAGAATATTTACCAGGGTAGTTTGGCCGCCTTGTAGGATTGACTGGCTTTGTAGGGAAAGAAACTACCTCCCGCGGCCGGACTCCCTTGGCCAATTTTACTCTCCTTTTTGCCGAATTCTACAATCGGTATTCCCGTAGAAAGGCCTGGTGGTCAGGCGAGCCTGCCTCTCAGTCTGGGAGCCTTGCTGCAGTGCTATTTTTAGCAGGTAGTTTCTCCAGAGCAACCGTTGAGAATCGCAGAGGCAGCGAAGCGCGGAGGAACGTGCGATCAGTAAGTCGGGCACGAAATCTGCTTCTTCAGAAAAGCGCACGTAGAAAGCGTCTGCCACAACTAGAGGACAACGACCCCTGCATTGTATATCCAGAACCTCGCTTTAAGGCGCGGTCACATTTCCCAACCCGGGGCCCGGCCGGGCAGTCCTTTGGAACGAAAATTATGATATGAGACAGCAAAACACAAAAAAAGTTTTAGAAAATTAACCTTGAGCACTATTTGTGTATACTATGTGTACAAATTGTTTCTTTTTCGTTCACGCAAACAACCCGGCCGGGCCCCGGCTTGGAAATGTGACCGTGGCCTAACTAGGTCTATGCCTGAACGGGTTAGGGTTAGGATCTGGCACGGTTCTGGATAGTCTCCGCGCATCCAAGAACGTACTGTAGATTTGCCCCAGGCACGGTTCTGGATACGTGTGAACTATCCAGAACCGTGCCTGAGCATAGTTCTGGATAAAACACTGTTCTGGATACAACTGTTAACCCATGTCTGTGTACATGATTCGTACCGATGGGAGAATGACAACGGTGAGACGGAATTCGACCGGTTCCGACATGTCTGTGTACATTGTTACATGTATGCTCCCAGCTTTATGCAATCAGGCAGGTTGTCCCCTTTGTACACAGGCCTGGTACATAGTA